TTTTTTTTTACGGATTCAGTAAATCTGTCTTCATATTTCCAAGTTCTTTCTTTTTAGATTTTTTGAATATCTGGGTATCACGGGTTTTTTCTTTGATTCTTTCTGTGTGAAGATTGACGAACATGTGCAGAGGGAGATCATGAACCACAGAACGCTGAAGCACCCGAATATTATAAGATTCAAAGAGGTATATTCTTCATCATTATTATATTCCGCATTTCTCTTGGAGAGATTCCCTGTGGAATCTGCTTCTAAAACCATTTATATACATGCAGGAAAATCTGAAGAAATTTAAGCAGCTTTTTATTCTTGAGAGTATTATTGAGTGTTGGATTTTTTATTTTTATTTTATAGGGAGTTTTGACAGATTTGAGGGACAGAATCCTATCTTCCCTTTGCTTTCTGGTTGTAAATAGAATCAGTATCCGGTCGTATTTGAAAGAGTATAAAGATGTAACAAAATGGAACATTTTGGACTAAAGAGAAAGCTTCAGCGCAATATATATATAACAGGAAGGAATCTGATGGAAAAGCAGGTGAGGTTGACGGCAACACACTTGGCGATAGTAATGGAATACGCGGAGGGAGGAGAACTGTTCGAAAGAATCTGCAGCGCCGGCCGATTCAGTGAAGACGAGGTCCTTCATCTTCTTCTTGCCATACTACACACATTAGAAACTCGTCCATTACATTCACGTTGTCTGTCTGTGCCAGGCGAGGTTCTTCTTCCAGCAGCTCGTGTCCGGAGTCAGTTACTGTCACTCTCTGGTGATTGATTCGCATCACACCTCGTTTTCTTATTCATTTCTCCCCGTATGTATATTTTCCCCGGGAATTGAAGGGGTCTGTTTTTTGTTTGTTTGTTTCCAAAGCAAATCTGCCACAGAGATTTGAAGCTCGAGAATACGCTGTTAGATGGCAGCGCAGCTCCACGTGTGAAGATCTGCGATTTCGGATACTCAAAGGTGACGAGATAAGATCTCAGCATTGTATTAGTTTATTAGAATATGAGATGATGATGAGATTGTTCATCACATATGTATATAGTCGGGGGTACTCCATTCGCAACCAAAATCGACAGTAGGAACACCTGCGTATATAGCACCTGAAGTCCTCTCCAAGAAAGAGTATGATGGCAAGGTAATATCATCATATCCGGAGTAATATATATATATATATATATATATGTATATATGATTGTTGGTGAAATAAATATGCAGGTAGCAGATGTATGGTCATGTGGTGTCACCCTATACGTAATGCTTGTAGGAGCTTACCCTTTTGAAGATCCTTCTGATCCAAGAAACTTCCGCAAGACAATCGCGGTCAGTTAACTCTAACATGTCGTGGCTAATTAAACACTCCTGTTTGGATCCTCTGATCGGTTAAAGCTCTCTGAAACGGCAGAGAATAATGAGCTCCCAGTACTCGTTTCCTGATTACGTCCGAGTTTCGGAGGGATGCAAGCATCTTCTCTCTCGCATCTTCGTAGCGAACCCTGACAAGGTATGGAGTTTTTAAAAATGAAAGAGTGATGATGATAGATGGATGTCTGACTGTGTCATGGTGTGTGATGAGAAGAGAATAACGATGCAAGAGATAAAGAGAGACGAATGGTTTCTGAAGAACTTGCCGGTGGAGATGTGGGAAGGAGGGAGTTGGCAGATCTGCAGCGACGTGAACGAGCCCTCCCAGACGGTGGAAGAGATTTTGTCCATCATTCAGGAAGCTCGACAATCCGGCGGAGGAGCTTCCGATTCCACCGGAGGCTCAGGCTCAGGCTCCGGCGGCATCGGAAGCAACAGTATGGATCTCGACGACTTCGACGCTTACTCCGATGACATCGACACCAGCGGCGATTTCGTATGCCCCATGTGATTTTATATATAGATATATTTTGTCTGGTGAATGTTCGTATAAGGTGCAAAATAATAAACGAAGGCGAGTAATCCCCAAAGAAAATTTCTTGAGGTTTGATTCTAAATTCGGAATCTTAGATATTTTATTTTGTTACTATTTTTGTATATATATATATGTTGTTTGGCGTACCCTTTTTTTGGTTAACTGGACAACAGTGTTACTGTGGAATATTTAACAGTTTTATCTAAAATTTATAAGAAAGATAATTTTTAATTAAATAAATGGTACTTTAGACGTCACAGATTTGTAACAAGCTAGCATTGAATATGGAGTTTTAGTGTCATTACATGAAACAAAAACTAATCAGATAATTATTTTCTTATTTTTTGTATAAATATGAATATGAATAATTTTTAAAGGCGAGAGAGAAACGGAAGTCAGGGAAGAAGGGAGTAGCTGTTAAGAAGTCCCCAGACAGTAAACTCAACGTCTTCCCAGGATTCCGCAGAACGGAGTTCGTCCCATATCCCGAAGATTGCTCCCAACACATTCTCTTCGTGCAATATGCAGTAGCACCTGCGTCCCCACCGCCGCTTCCAGTTCAAACCTCATTGTTCATAAAGATTAAGAAAAAAAAAAAAAAAAAGAGTTCTGCGTTTCGATTGCTTACATTGCACGGTACGAGAGTTTGAGTTCTTTGTCCCTCGGACTCTCCCTTGACACGCGGCTCCTTACCAATGGGAGCTTGTAACTCTCCAGAAGCTTCTTTAAGAGATCCCCATCACCCCTAAACACGTCCAGGTATATGGGTATCAATTCGTATATTGGATCTCCTGCAAAAACAGTAGTAACAACCAAAAACTATGAAAACATGTCGCCTATATACACACACACACATATGCCGATTCTTGAAGTTAAGCATTATTACCTATGGATAGATTGCTGAAGTCGAGAATGTGACTTGGACGCCATGTTTTGTTTTGACAGTTGATGGAATCATCGTCATCATCCAAGGATGGTTCCATGTGAATGTTGTCGTCCATGATGTCCGAGTGTATCCATGTGCAGGGCTTGGCTTTGTCTACACAATCTTTGTCCTGCGGTCATATAGAAAGAAAAGTTGTGTTGGTCATTGAGCAATGAGTTAGTTGCCCACAGTCCCTCCATTCCAACGAGGGAGGAGAAAAAAAAAATCAGACAAGTAACCTTGTAAACACACAGCAGATCCGTGAAAAATTCATCGGGAATGTATTCGTTCACTTTGTCGATCAGCTGCCGAGGAATTGGACTACCCCTGGAGAGATTCAGTTGAAATAGTTATCAAAAGGTGAGATCTTTTACAAGAATTAAACTCGAAGAAACGTTAATATTCTCAAGGAGGGGTACCATTTTTCCAGGCGAGTGAAAACGTCTTTCTTCTTCTGGCACAGAGAACCAACGAAGATTCGCCATTCTGCAGGAATGTTCGACCTCTCTTGAACATCCATCGTGATAAGATCATTACCATCCAATGGAAATTTGATTGGTGGGTATGGCAACAGATGAAGGTTGCGTACTTGTTCTCCCAAAAAGGAAGCCAAGTTCATTGCGTCTTCCCACGACAGTTCATCTCTTCTACAACAATAATAGACATGTTATTTTCTGAAACATCTTCACAGTAATAGGTAACTAAGAGAGGGAGAAAAGATAAACATACAGCTGTGCAAATATCTTCCCTTTGCATCGTTTTGTTATAATGTACGGCCAAATATGTGTCCCGGAAGAACTGAAGGTATCCTGATTTGAGTTCTCCAGGTTTCTACGTTCTATTAGAGTCTTGCTCCAAATACCGAATGGAAATTCACCATTCACCACTGATACAGCATCTAGCCCGAGATTGCAGCCAGCGATAACATCTGGGATTCTCTTGCCATCCCAAGGGACGATTCTGTAAGACCCATTTTCGAGAAAAAGAATCCCGCTTGCCAGAACATCAGGGACATGGGTTTTCAAAGGAGAATCAGCCTGGCCAAGTACGTCATAAAATTCAAGCTGCACACAAGAAAACCAAACAATTACAATCGTAATGGATGAACAAGGAATGCTATGAGAATTTAATTTATGATTACTTGCCTCGGTTCCCAAACCATACATAGACTGTTCCAGTCCTCCTTCGACATAGAGTTTTACCACATGGTCAGACAGCAGATAAACCTAACAGTAAGAACTGAGAGAATTCAGAGATAAAGAAGAACAAGGACTCAAAATGGTTGCAAAACTTTTATGTGACAATATTTTTTTCAAGGGAACTAGTAATCTTACCGGATTGCTTCCGGTACCAACGGGAAGCTTTTCCTCATCGGTAATGGATGGCAATGCATGGAAATTACAGATTTCCTCGAGGCAGTGCAACCATTTTTCAGAATTTAAAGCAACGCATGCTCCCTAAGATGTCATTCAAACAGGAGATAATATGAGAGAGATGAAGGAAAGCAATTAGCAAGGTTAAAACTTCAACTTCAACTTCAAATAGCAGCAATTACCTTCCATATCAGCTTTCTCATCTCGGGTTTCAGAACCCAAAGCTTGAATAGCCACTCCCTCATTTCCCGTTGGCCTATAGAGTTCCCCATGCACCATGGAAAATTGTAATGGTCTCTATCTTTATCAAGAAACGAGGCTAAGAAGTCGATATCGTATGAAAACCCGTTTTTCCAAACATGATATCTCTTTGATACACCATTAGCACCCCCTTCGTGGTTTTCCATCTCTTCACCTCTATTAATCCTGATCCTCTTTTCTTTCCTGGTAAGGTCTGCATAGCTCAAAGTATCCTTGACCTCATCACTCGCCTCAATTTCAATCTCTTCCAAACTGCTTTCGTCAAGGGCAAGAAGCCCAGCACGGCAAACCCCTTTGTGACGGTAACCAGGGGCCATATCCAAACACACAAATTCAAAGTTGTTTTCATTCACGAAATTCTGGGTAACAGCCACTGTTGTTTCAATATTAAGGACACAGTGCCACCAACCACTTGGAACATAAATTGTTTCCCCGGGTAGCTGTGTACACTCAATTGGCTTGTCTTCATCAGCAAGGAGGGGGTAATAGTCTAGCCACCACTGTCCATGCAAGAGAAGAGTATCAAGAGACTGAAACTAAGAAGATGCTATGATAAAGAAGAACTCAAATGCCAAAAGCTTAGGATAGTCATGCAAGGTACCTGCAGAGATGAAGGAGTGTCGATGTTGACATCACCATCATCTTCGTTTACATGGACTGTAACACCTAGAGGCACTCTCCCAGGAGGATACAATGCCCACCTGTTTTTGAAACATAATGCAGTCATCGTCAAAATACCATATAACCCAATTCCATTCTAGTGATGAAATTATTTCACAACATCCAACAAAGTGGAAGAGAACAAATTCATATCGCAGTGTCCAACAAAGTGGGAACAGAGATAGCAGGGACTAACAACTCAATCACAGTACCCAACCTAGCAACTGAATCATGTTAATCTGATAACTAGAATGGCTCTTGGTGCATATAACTATGTAACAACCTTACACAAACATGGACAGATGAATACACATTTCAATTCAAACAACAAGTCATGGATCCAACTGATCACTTTTATGTGGTTATTCCTAGATTGTAAAATGTTCAGATATCTGCCGTGGTATCTGCATGGACCGTAACCAATATTGCCTAAACTTTCAACAGATGTTGACATAAGCGCATTAGAGGTACGCATGGGACAGTCTACCGGAAATGAATGAAACAAATAAAAGGATCCCTCAAGCCAAAAGTGCATACCTTTTCCGACCACAGAGTAAAGTATTCCAGGCGCTAGTAAGAGCAGGATCAACATGCCACGATGCACCAGACCTCTCCGGACCAACAATGAGCCATCTATATGACGGTCTACTTTCATGGTCTAAGATGTCAAACCAATCTTCTCGAAACAGATGAGGCACACTATAGTCTTTCAACAAGTCAGTTGCAACTTCTCCAAACTACAAGAAAATCTCGATTCCTTTAGGTTCATGTGCCAAATATTTTCCTTAGAACGTCTTGGACCTGCTGTAACTCTACTAATGACATGCAGAAAATGTATAGTTATTACAGAACTGTGTTAGTACCTTGTCATCGAAAACGTATAGTGGATCCTCATCCCGCTGAATATTCATGTAAGACACATAATCCTTGAACTTCATGCTGATTTTATTCGGACTTCTCTGAGATATTCTAAATGCAGTCTCCCCATATTTCTGAGTTAGCTGGTCAACAGTCCACGTACTACGGGCTGGCCAAGATTCAGCTAGACCAGCAATCAAAACCTGAAGGACAGGGGAATAAATTACAATAAGGTGTAAAACCCTGGATAAGGCATAACAGAGAGAGGAGGCACATGAAAATCAAGAGAGATACAAAAATGGATAAGAAAAATTAAATTATTAAGACATACAGGCTTCTTGGCATCATATTCCTTAGAGAACTCATCCAAGGAGAGGTCTCTCTTACGTTCCACATTCCCATCATCAAAAGAGAACCCATCTAGAGAAGTATGACATCTATAAAATCGCTTGTACAAGTACAACGAATTGAATCCTGCAGAAAGGGGTAAAGTCTGTGAGAAAAACAAGTGAATCAACATGTTCATGTCGTTAGAAAAAGGAATAAGCCACAAATAGGATTGAACTTCAAGGAAAGAAAAAGACTATGCACCAGGTTGTTACCATTGAAATGCAGCGGCTTTCTGTATGCCCCATCGTGTTCCTGAGTTACCCCTTCCCTGTATCCAGAAACCAAATCAGTAATCCCAACTTTACATAAGCAGCGGGTCTGAGAAATCCAAGGTAAACTTAACGTTCAACAATCGATTTGCACATTAAATTAAATAATATAAAAGTAGAGATTTTTCAAAGTACTCAGTACTCACAGATACAAGGTGGTATTTTTCCAGGAACCCTTGCACTGAAGTGGACCCTTTGCTCTTTTGAGGCACAGACTCAACCAAAGTGGTTCTTCATTGCACAGAATGTACATAACACTGCAAGTAAAACATACAATGACACGATTACCACAAAATGCGTAATTTTTTTGTACATCCAGGAAATGCCTCGACCATTCTGAAGAGAAATCAGGAGCATGAACCCTATAAATATAAAACATCCAAGTTTCTCAGCCGTATTGGTTCTAAACCCAATTTTCCAATAAGCAAGCTAACGACACCAAACAATGACAAAGTTCCTACCATCAGAAATAACAATACGTTTTCGTTCCCAGAATTGCTAAGAACATGAACCCAAAAGCACAAACGATAGCGAAAAAAGACACGATTAGAGACCACTGTGCGAGCAAGACACCGATTTAAATCAATCTGACATCAGAAAGAGAATTGAGAAACCTGCTGGCACAAGCGAGGCGAGCGATATCTCGAGGAGAAAGGTATTCAAGGATAAAACAGATAGTTTCATCCGGGAGGACATGGAGACCGCCGAGAGTTTCCGACCGACGATCTCTGTGTCCTGAAGTCGTCGTTTCACAAGCATCCTGCATTCCTGTTTGTTCTCTGCGAGAAATGTTTCTTCGATCCTGAAATTCGAATCGCTCGGGTACCCCAGAAAGGATCTGGAGACGAAAGAGCAAAATTTTGCAGAAGCAGTAGCGCGTGGATTTGACGAGCCGGGATTCGTGTGATCACCGTGTCCGCGGGATCTCCACGCCAAAAATATTCTCGCTGCAATTCGTTATTCGTCATTTGTCGTCGAGGAGGTAGGGCTGGAGAAACAACGCCGTTTCTGAGTAAACGCAGCGTTTGGCTTACGAAATAGCAGTGGCAAGAACGCGGAAACGGGGAACTCGAGAAAACGCGACGTAGTTTTTTGTCTTATGCTGAGAAGGAAAAAACGGCAAGTAGTCTTGAGCTCTGGGACAGGGATAGCACGCAATCAGAATGACGACACTACCAATGGGCTTTTAAAAAGCGATGTGGGCTTACAAGACCATGGTGCATTCATTAATTAACCCATGGACTCTCTTTTTTTTTTTTTTGTATTTTTCACCGTCATGGACGTAAAAATTGGAAAATCGCATAAATAGAAAATACTTAAAAAAACTTCTCCCTTTAACCTCAATTAGCAAAATCATTTTTTCCTCATCACAATTTTCCTCGCCTAATAAAGAACATTATTTAAAATATAATACGTACAGACTTCTTTTTCAATAAATAAAAATACAGTAATTTAAACAAATATTTCCAAAAAGGGCTAATATTAAATGGGAAACTAAAATAATATAGATTTGTGGGGAAGAAGATCATAATGTAGGGAATAGTGATCATACGTGTCAAATCATATGGTCCCATTCAAGTTTGCGTTTATTCCAATAAAAAGTAATGACGACCATATAATATAGATACCATATGTCATGAATGGACAATGTGGCATTATTTTACGATCCACCGTTACGGCCTACGCTCTTAAGTAAAGCAGACTCTTTATTCCAGCAAATTTGAAGTCCATCCACACACCTTGTAACGTTTTTACAAACACAACTACACAAAGAGTTCACACTCTCTCGACCCAAAATTTGGAAATTTAGAAAACCAAGTCTTACCGATATATTATATCACATACATATATAATGTATATGTTTAGGGAGCAGATGGAAACGCAAGGGAAGACGCTTAGGGAGCAAAAGACTGGAGGGACTGGATCCGTCGCTTCCTGAGGCGTTCAGCGATTATAAACGCCAGTTCTAGCGATTGCGATGCGTTCAGACGCGGGTCGCAGTGCGTGTGGTAACGCGATCCCAAGTCGTCAAATGTCACCGTTCGCGATCCGCCGATACACTCCGTCACGTTCTGACCGGTCATCTCAAGGTGGACCCCACCCGGGTGGCTTCCCTCTTGCTCATGCACGTCGAAGAACGCCCTCACTTCCGCCTGCAGCAACCAAAAAAAAAAAGAAACATTCCACCCAAAATGATTTCCGGTTTACTGATCACGAAAACCGAGTTTTCATACCGAAATGGTTTGGTGGGTTTTCTTGAAAAAGGCTCACCTAACCAAGAAAAGTAATGTCTCACCTAAAACTACAATATGCTTAGTGGTCCAATGCAATAAATCAATGTTTTTGGTTGTCACCTGTCGTAATCTCACCTACCACCAAAAAAAAAAAAAAGTCGAAAGCGTACCCTGATAGAGTCGAAAGGACGAGTCTTGAGACCGCATGGAGCCTTGATGGTGTTTCCATGCATTGGATCACTGACCCAAGTGACGATCTGTCCGGCACGACGAACTGCCCTTATCAGATGAGGAAGCTTCACCCTCATGTTCTCCGCTCCCATTCTCGTTATCACCGTTATCCTCCCGGGCTTGTTCTCCGGATTCAGTATCTCAATAATCCTCACCAGCTCATTCGGATCCATCTTGTCACTCACCTAAACCGAATGAAAACCAAAAACAATAACCGGAATTGCATGAGATTGGAATTGCAAATCTTTTACTCTGAAATGTGTCCAAAACAATAAACAGACCTTAATTCCAAGAGGGTTAGCAACACCTCTGAGGAACTCGACATGGGCACCATCGAGCTGTCGAGTGCGCTCTCCCACCCAGAGCATATGGGCAGAGCAATCATAGTAAAGGCCAGAGGTAGAGTCTAGCCGGGTCAGAGCTTGTTCATACGGTAAGAGCAAACACTCATGTGACGTCCAGAACTCAGTCGTCTGCATGATCGGGTGGTCGAGCGTCAGCCCAGCTGCATGCATGAAACCAAGCGCCTCATCCACCCGATGAGCAAGTTCTCGATACCTGGCAAAACCAATGTTGAAAGTCATAATTTTTCCCTAAATAGCAAAATGTAGCACTAAAAAGGTGCTAAAATCCCTCAGAATTTGCCGAATTTTGGCTGATAGTGTACTACCTTATCTTGAAATCTAACAAGAACCTCAATGCAAAAAAGGAACTCCGAGACAAAGTTTCAGTTTCAGGAGATATCACAGAACCAACTACGTGCAGATGCTAAAAGGAGAAGTTCTAAACTTTATGGCATCAAAACGTATAAACCCTACAAATAGATACGCAGTAAATTATTCCGAATTTCTGCAGCTCAAAACCTAAAGGTTTGTGGGTGAAACTACCAAAATTTCAGATCCTAATTGACACTCATAGTAACATCAATGGCGCAAACAGATGTGTCAGTGGTAATGCTAATTCCTAATCCTACCCATCATGAGACTAACCACAACAACCACAAGATTCCGACAGAAACACAAAACAAAAGCACAGCCAGATCAATTGAAAAGGCTAATTTTTACCTGTCTCCTTGCTCGCTGTGCTCTGTGAAATCAAGATTCCACTGAGTGACCCTCTGCATAGCGGCGTAACCACCGGTGGCAAACGCCCTCAGAAGATTCAGAGTAGCTGCAGATTGGCAATACGCTCTGATCATCCTCTGAGGATCAGGAGCCCTGGCCTTCGCATCAAAGGCGTCTCCATTGATGTTGTCCCCTCTGTAACTCGGCAGCTTCACGCCGTTTCTCTCCTCGAATGGGTCGGATCTCGGCTTCGCAAATTGACCCGCCATTCTTCCCACCTGAACCAAACACAGGAAAAAGGGATAAAAAGTCAGTCAAAGTCGAAGATTAACCCATCACAAAAAAACAATTTCATATGATTTTTTTTTTATCTTTTCCGCTGCCAAGCCTTCAACAACTAAAAAAACTTGCAGAAACTAATCCTGAGACAATTCACCGGAAAATGGGTACAGATAGTATGAATTAACCAGAGGAATCATACCTTAATTACAGGCACCTGGCCACCGAACATCAAGACGGCACCCATCTGAAGAAGAATCCTGAAAGTGTCACGAATGTTGTTAGCGTTGAACTCCTTGAAGCTCTCAGCACAGTCGCCGCCCTGCAACAGGAAGGCCTCTCCCATTGCGGCCTGACCCAGTCGCTCCTCCAGGATCCTGGCCTCACCGGCGAAAACAATCGGCGGAAACGCATCGATTGTGTTGAGCACCGACTCCAGCTCCGCCGCATCCGGGTACTCCGGCTGCTGCAGAGCCTTCTTTGATTTCCAGCTGTCCATAGTCCATTTCCCCTGACCCACATTTCCACCCACCGCCGTCTTCAACGCCGGAGACGCCCCCGCTTTCTTGGCCGGTGCCTCCTGATTCGGTGGCTTGGGGTCCGTCTGGACGGCGGAGATTCGG